AGATACAGATTTAAAAGGAAGAGCAGCAAAGAGAAGGGAAACAACCATGGATTACAGTAAGGTGCACATTACAGTATTGTTTTATGTTAAAAAATCTGTGGGTTTAATGTCACTTTAAGAGCAATAGGTCTGTAGACTGGGACTGTGAATTAAGAAGGTTTTAGGAATCCCTCTACTTTCTACTTGTGACGTCTGCTTTCCACAGTTGACTTTCTGATATCACACAGGCAGTGGCGACTCTAGGAACAATATATAGGGGGGGGCACATAAGATACCACAGTCAAATCTGGGGGGGGCACTGATAATTTTCATTGCATGTCGCAACCGCTGAGCGCCGAGAGCTGATCTAATTGCGGATGCGACATGTAGTCCAACGCCGGCCACAATCCTGAATACCGCAACCACGGACGCCATCCGCAATTAACCCCTTCGTGACGGGAGACGTACACTGTACGTCCAGCCACAAAGGGACTACGTGACATGGTACATAGGCACTCTTGCCCACTGTAGACCGCCGTAGGCTGTCCATGCTTCTGGGCTGTGAGCTGTCAGAGGAAAGTGGGAGGGGCCGGACAGTGTCAAAATCAGTGTTCTATAATTTTTCTCGATCCTATACATTTTCTCGACTGTGTCACTTCCAGTGGGGCTGAGTCTTCTGAATCAGCTGTTTTCATGACCCCCTTTCTTCATGACATGCACGCCTGGAAGTGACGCCTAGAGACATTTATGGGTTGAGGAAAATTATAGAACACTAGTAGTGTAGGGATGCCTCGTCAGTGCTGGGCGCGTGTACGACTGCTGCGACCCTGGTAGTTCTGCCACTAACTCTAAGCTGTAGAGGGACTACAAATCTCAGCAACACATTATACAGCAATGCAGAATACCACCTTCAGCTATGGAGCACTATAAATCTCATAACTACATTATACAGCAATGCAGAATTCCATTAGCTATCGAGAACTACAATTCCAACCAATACATTATACCCCAATGTAGAATAATACCAACAGCTATAGAGGACTATAAATCCCAGCAATACTTTATACAGCAATGAAAAAAAACACCAGCTATAGAGAATTACAACTTTTTTTTCATGTGTGTGTTTGCAGGGGCTGGGACCTTTAATTTTATGTGGGATTTTTAATTTTAGTTTATTTTACTTTTTATTTTTTCAAAACTTTTTAAATATTTTTTTGTATTTTGTATTTTTGTATTTTTTTACATTTGTACTTTTTATGTATTTAACTTTATTTAAGGGGGGCAAGTGATAACCCCCCTTGCCCCCCTGTAGCGAGGCTGCCTGTTACAGCAGTTTGTAATTTAGTTTCCTTAGTGGTTATACTGTATGAGTCCATTGAAGAATGGAAACCATCATTTATGGGTCCTGGCAATGAAGGCATTGATTCGAATAGGTGTGTGGAGCAGATGGGTGCTTTATTTGTTGGCCTTGGACTGCATAACTATTGCTGTTTATACCACACATCATTTAGCTATACTTTGCTAATCTTTTTTTGTTTGTGGTAGTCAAGTCACCTGGAACTGTCTGTTTCTCAATATTTGAGTCTGCAGGCTAGGGAGTGTCGGGTACCCAGACCTGCCCATCAGAAAGTAATAATGGAATCACTTGCATTTCCCTTCAAAATCTACACACACCAGAATCTACCAGAACTACTCAAATTATACACACCCTGAATATTTATCACTGCTGCCATGTAAGGAGGAAAGTGGTTGGGTGGTGGCAAAGGGTCTGTTGTGAAAGATCAAAAAACGTTATAAGACTCTCAAAATCTGAGATTGGGAGGCGTCACATTTATGGTTAAGGGTGCTCTTGATCCAAGGATACAAGAAGAAAGCAGTAGAACCTCAGGTGGGACCATACAGAGAGAAACTAGCAGAGGACCACAGATACTACTGTGGAAGGAAGTTTTATTGCTGGTGTAACAAATTAAATCAACAAAGGCATTTATTACACCTCAAAATTCAATCCAAGATTTACTCAAATTATATTTTGGCTCGCTACCAATTTATCTTTGAATTAGAGGCTGATGTGGAACAAGCGTGCCACCATGAAGTGTCAGGACACCCAGGGGTTGATATACTAAAGGCAAATTGGCTGTTCACTTTGCAAGGGAATTTTCCCTTAGCTTAGTGAATGATGTTTACATTAATTTTGCAAAGCATACCCAATCATGTGCAGAGGAAAACAAAACAGTATTTTTGTTTGCACATGATTGGATGATGAAAGTCAGCAGAGCTTCACCTTATTCACTAAGCTCAGGGGAAAATTCCCTTGCAAAGTGAACATCCCATTTGCCTTTAGTAAATCAATCCCCTAGTGTGCATACGCTTGTTCCAAGTCACTAACTCACCATGTTGTATAGCAAGGAGAAGGAGGACAATGCGGGAGAATGGACCTTCAAAAACATGTAAACAATGGCAGCTCCCATGTGGTTAGATCTGTACACCATTATTCCTAGACAATTAATATTATCTTGCATTCTATTTTTATTTCTCATATGAAGAAAACATAGGGCCTCTTGGTGTCCCTTTAAATTTCAGTGGTTTATATCTCTGTGTTTCATTTAATACGCTCTGATAAAAAAAATAGAAGGAAATGATTTCTCCATGGCAGAAAGACTCTGTAACAAATTGAACAAGCCCCTCAGAGTCTTAAATCTTTATTAAATTGTAGCTAATTGTATTATTGACAAGTAAGCTGACAGGCTTATTGTCCCCTGATGGCATTCATTGGTTCATTTACTGCATCTACAAGTTCGCCAAAGGCTGTGTGTTTTATGAATCAATTTAGCTGGGATGGTATTTTTTTTTTATTCCCAGCTTTGCTGATGGGGGAGATAACACAATCTGATCCGGAGTTTACAGAACTGGGATAGTTGTGGATTAAATTGAGATTTCTGAAATTTTCGCGCTTTGCTCTCCTATAATCTTAATACACTTGATTCTAATATAACCCGGCTGTTACATTGAAGAGGGTTGAGTAAGGACTCGATAAATCAAGTATGTGCAGCACTTCTCTAAGGCTACATTCACTAGAGCCCCGTGCATTTGGTTTATTTAAACACAGGAGAGATTATACAAAATGTATGCTTCCCAGATCAAGTTCTTCTGCGTTTAAATGTACTTTCCTTTACATGCGTTTAGAGTTCATAGTAATTACTCAACGCACACAATTCTATTTTCTTTAAACACAGCTAAACGGAATACACCTAACACAGGTAAATGCACAGCGTGAATTATACCATTTAAAATAATTACATGTATTTATACAGTATGTGTTTAGAAATAACCTAGAAACACATAAGTCATTGGCAGTGTGAGGTCTTACAGACAAACATAAATAATATACTGTAGGGAGCATATTTGCAAATGTGACATAAAACATTCTCTGTTAAAGTGACATTAAAGGCTATTTCCCCCCCACCCACCTATGTTAGTGTAGGGACTTACCTTAAATCATGCCTCTTGATTCGATCATATTCCTCTTCACTACCCTTTTCAACTGTCCCTCCAGCGCTGGTGCGGGTCTCTGATCCAGCGCTGACTCCTCTGTCCTTCTCTTCTATCATGTCTCACGGAGTCTGTGCGGGTGCACACTGCTCCATATACTTACCTTGTGTCTCTCCTCTTCTCCCGGCCGAACATCTGACCTGCGCATGCGCTCGCCCCAAGATCCTTTGCGGCCGCCCGAGACTCTTCAGATGTTCGGACGGGAGCGTGCGGCGGAGACACAGGTAAGTTTAAACCTGTTTCAAAAGGTTTTTTTTTTTGCATATATCTACTGCTTGCTAGCAGTAGATATATGCAAAAAAAAATGTGAGAGTTTAATAACCCTTTATTCTTCCAGGTGCATGTAACAATAATAATAATAATAATAACAACAATTCCTAGGTTCCTCCCGCAGGAATCCCTAATCATATAGTGTAAACCAGGGGTGCCCACAAGGTCGATCGCGATCTACCAGTCGATCGCGTAGCGATCACTGGTAGATCGCCATGTCCTCTCCTCCCGCCGCTTCTCTGGATCCCCGCTGCTCTCCCCAGCGGGGTTCCTAAAAGAAGTGAAGGAACCGGTGGTGGGGGAGGGTGGAGGACGGAGCTGCTGTCACAGAACTAATGCAGAGCGGTGAGGAGAGAGACGCTCGGCCAGGATCTGACAGCCGGCGCCTCTCTCTCCCCTCACTGGTCGTCAATTGAAGTCAATGGCATTGCCCACAGTGCGATCGCCCGCACTCGGAACGCAGGCATGTTAGTGCCTTCATTCCGGTCCAGTGCGATCTGCAAAAATAGTGCTCGCAGCATTTTTGCGGATCGCACTGGACAGGAACACAGGCCCTAATGCAGGCGATCGCACTGTGGGCGAGGGGCCTGGCTGCGGTGCCATTGACTTCAATGCACCGCCACGCCCCCTCCCGCCCCTGAATGCAGGTGTTTTTTCATTGGTAGATCTCAATGAGCTCGTCATTTGAAAAGTAGATCTCCAGACGAAAAATAGTGGGCGCCCCTGGTGTAAACGAAGCCTAAAAAGGTGTCTCCTTGTATATATTCAACAACTTTCCAAACATGATATCTGTACCGCAGATGCATTCACCCTCTTTTACCTTTCTATAGCAGAAAGGTAAACAGTAATTAAATGTAATACTGACTTCCTTTGACGGTATGCATCCCCTTTGGAGTCTGTCATCTCCGCAAAAGTTCTGTTAACCATCAGTTTATTAATACCCTTAAAGATATACATGCAATCCACTCATATGATACAAGTGCATGTCAGCATTATAGACAGCATAATATCACATAACGGTAATTCTGCTGCTCGCCATTGTAAGCGCCTCAATTGTTGGTATCCGTCTGTGAATCAGCTCTGCTCCAACGTGTTTTGTCAATCCAATCTGGCTTCATCAAGCAAGATTTTTATTCTGATTGGTTTTCTACTTTGCTATGATTCTGTTTATTGGTAATGTAACTCGTTCCTCTGTCTTTCAGTACAAACTTGTGAAAGAAGCTCTTCATGAACGTGCCAACCTGCTGGAGATTGCTCCTCACTTATCTGCTCCCCTGCCTATTATGCTGCCTGTATACAAGTAAGGAATTGAGGGTTTCACACCTGTGCTTGAGTTTTAAGTGGGTGCTGGGGAGTTCATTCACATGCCAGATCCTTATTGCTCCCAGGGAAAATGATAGAATCAACTTTCTTTTAGACTCCCAGACTGGTCCTCATCACAGTGGCTAAAAATGTTTATTAGATGCACTTTTAGTTCACATATCCTTTTCGGCCCCCCTTCCACCCCCAAGCATTAGTGTATTATATAACCTTACTAGAAATGCAGTGCCCGTCTTTAAATTCTTTTAGTCCTGTGTCTCCCTCCTCCCCACATGTTCTCTCTGAACACCATTTGCTTCATTGAAAAGCTGGGTGACAACTAGTCAACCTGTTCACAGCCTTTCCCCTGCAGTAATTTGTATTCAGGATGCACATCTATGGGGACAAGACACAAACCTGGGATGATTCAAAGAGTGAACCTGCAGAATGAGGAGCTGTGCACACAAATTATTGCTGATCTTTCCCCATTACTGACTTACCATACCTTGTTCTGCACTGTGCCTATGTGTGGTGGTGGCTTTCTTTGTAGAGGCAGGGGTTTGCTTTCTTATGTCAGAGCCTTTAGCAAGGAGAACTTGTAAGCAGCACAGAAGTGATACCGCCAAATTGTACTCAGCTCCATGACTGACTAATTGTCTTCTGACTGGTGGGGAAATAATCAAGGAGCAGAAGGAGAAGTGGAGGAAGCACAGATGCAAAGAATGGATAAAGCAGAAGCAGGGAGATCCTTGCACTACATGTCCTCAAGTAGAGATTCCTCTCCAGCAAGGAGAACAGTGAGCAGCACAGTATTCACATCACCAAATGTCATTCCAAATCTCATGAGACTAACAGTCAAAGGCAGCAGTGCCCTAGATCTCACACTGCAAATAAACATCAATGAGACGGTAGGCACAGAACTGCCTAGATACACTTGCATACCAGAAAGTGCACTGATGTTTTTCAGGAGGAATTCTAGAAAAAGGTTCTTTTTTTTTTTCAGGGAACTTCTGACGCACAATTTACATTTATAGATGTTCTCCACAACATGGCAAATTTTCACTCTGAGTTTAGGACTACTTTTATTAAGAGGCTGAACATTTGCTGTTTAGTCAAAGGTGTGGACTTCATTGCTTTTTACAATACTGTTTTTATCCTTACTTTTGTTCTATACATATTCTAATTTTTGCTTCCCACAAAAGAAAGAATTCTAAAAACTCCACTACTATTCTAAAAGAAAAAAATCACACCCCTGACCCCTTGCTTCTGTTGTCTTTTGTAAATGGAGTGCTCATGGTTGTGTAGTTCAAAGGTAGCAAATTTATATACTGAACTAAGGAAAATAAAACAGTCAACAAAAACTGTTCTTTCTTCAAAACACATTTATATAAGTCCCTTTGGAGACCATGGAGTGAAAGATGAAAAGAAGATTGTGATTTGTTGCTTCTGATAAAGGTCTTATATTCAATTTAACCCCTTCGTGACTGACGACGTACAGTGTACGTCGCCAGCATCGGGGCTGTTTAAACAGACTCCCGGCGACTTTTGCCGCCGGGACTCTGTTTAAACTTGTAGAGCCGACTGTCGGATTGTTCTTTTGTTTTGAATTAGGTGGTGGCAGTTACCGTACTACTGGGTTGGCATCAAGGCCTATGATCTTGTAGCAGGCAGCCAGTGTCTAAAAAGCAGTTATGTTCTCAGCAAATCCAAAGCCTTAGAATTGTTCCCAATGCTTCAGAAAGACAGACTTGTGGGGGCCATTGTCTACTATGATGGTATGTATCTTGAAATTGTCTACTATGATGGTATGTTTTAAACTTGAAACCCAAAAATCGAATACATTACAGCATACCGTTCCATAGATGTGATGGCCAAATTAGTTTTTCCACCTGGAAATCTTGCTATTAAACTTCCCGTCCTGGGACGGCTCACACTATATCCATGTAGGAGCTATGGTTGTCACTACACTGCTCTCTACCATTTGGACTACAAACACATCTTTCGCTTTTCATCACCATTACATGAAGTGCGGGGGAATTACTAGTTTACAGAAGATAGCTTGGGAGGAAGATAACATTGTTTGAGATTTCAATTCACAGGAACTGACAATGATGTAGCATTTCTGCCAAATCAACAGGTATTTTCTATAAATGTTGCCGGAAAACTAATTCAGTCACCACATCTAGGACCAGAAAGTTGAAATATACAACATTTTTCTTGTTTTCTTTTTTTTTACTCTTTAATGCTCTTTTCTTTTTTTTGTGATAGTATGTTATTAAAGCAAGTGCCAAATTTTGAAATCGACCACCTTTGAATTGGAAATTTGGTATTATTCCAGTGGAGATGGAATTTTTTTTACAATTCATTATTGATAGGCAATTCACTGTATTATTGTTTTGTTGAGATTTTGTCCTTGGATAGAATTGTATTTCTGTGGCTGGTCTGCACTTTCACACGCAGACATGTTCTGTAGCACAGCATTGAACCTGATTTTCTTAATAGAAAGCAATTGTAAAAAAAAAAAAATGCTTCCCTTCAAACGCGATGTGCAGTTTATAGATTTTAGCACTTTCTTTATAATTTGCCTTTGCGGATTGTAACCTATGAATCACACCTTGGTGAGACTCCCATTCAATGATTTAGAATTCTAGCAATGACTCTGGGCAAAGCCTACAGGGTCCGAGAAGATTAAAAAATACATTTTTAACAAATGAGGAACATCAAGAACAGATCATTGAAGACAAAAGCTATAATCATTCTCCCGGGCAAAACTATGCAAAGATTATTGTACCCTGAAGAATACTGTTAGAGAAAAGCGAGATGTCAGATGAAAGTTTCCTAAAGACAGTAAAATACGGTTTCAATTGCCGTGTTTACCTGGCAGAGCTTGTGAACTTTGAAAGCAAGTTCTACTTAAAGGGGCTGTGCTGGCGAAACATGGTAGTAGATTGGTGGGGATGAAAACCAAATGTTCTTTAGAAGACTAAAGCATTTACTTGCGACTTCCCTCAGTTACTTTTCCTGCATGTCCTAGTTTTTGTTGTGACCATATGGTTTGCTATTGCAGGTTTCACCTGTAGATGGTGCTTCTAGTGAAATCTGGTACTACTTCCACTCATGTGTTCCAAATGTCACTTAAAGTAGAAGACCCGTCAATTTAATGGTCTCCCAAAATCGTTACTTTCAACGCATGCCAACTGTCAAGGTTGCCAGTGGGCTTTTTTCAGCTCTCAATCGAACTTTCAAACCCCCAAGTGGCTGGTGTCATAGCTGATCACATGCACTATGCCAACTGCAGTCCAAATAGAGGCACCTTCCATGGCTGTAAAGGGTTGGAGGTTGTAGATCTGCTTTAATGCACTATCTGCAGATGAAATATTGTTTTGAGGCCTCGTTCACACCATCCTCAGTGCGTTCTGGCCCGATTGTGGCCGAAACGCACTGGATTGCATTGCGGCCAGCTCAGTTTGTTGTGTGGCAGAAGAGGGGGCGTGGCGGTCCATTGAATTAAATAGCACCGTAACCACACCCTCCGGCCGCAATGCGATCGGCCGCACAGGAGCGCAAGGCACATCAATGACTGCGGTCCGTTCTGAAAAAGTAGTGCATGTAGCATTTTTTCTGACCAGACCGCAGGCATTGATGTGACTTGCGTTCCCGTGCGGCCCAATCGCATTGCGGTCGGAGGGCATGGCTACTTCAATGGACTGACACGCCCCCACCAGCCCCACAACAAAGTGAGCTGGCAGACGATCCAGTGCATTCCAGCCAGAATCGGGCCCGAATGCACTGTGTCTGGTGTGAACGGGCCCTTATGGCCAACTCTAACAGGATATGCACAGGAGTTGCACCATCCCCATCTCCCGGTCAATGCTCAGCTTCTTGTAAATGCCAGGAATGGGTCAAGACTTTACAATTCATGGCACATGCACCATGCAGTGCATTGTGCAGTAAATAGAAAGCTACTAGGAGTAAGGGGGCGGAATTTCTGGCATAGAGACTTTGCATGTCTTTCTATAAAAAAAATCTAACTTGTAGTGTTTTTTTATTACGGGACTTTGGTTCCGCTTTAACCAATAAGCAGGAAAACACATTGAGACTTCGCTCTGCAAAGGACTGTAAGCTACTATGGGATGGGGTTTCCATGATTGGTGTTTTTTATAGGGTTGTGTATTAGATGAAAATCCAACCAGGTTGTTGGTGAGATCGGGGACTTCCGAAGTTTCACTTTTTTAGACATAGCCATGAGTTTTACTCAGCAGTGGTTCTAAAATCTGTAATTACATAGTAAAAAAAAGGGCCAAGTCAAGGTGACTTTCTGTATTTTTCTTGAAGACATTTCACTGGTCATCCAACCAGCTTTCTCAATTCTCAATTCAGAATTGTTGGTCATGGTTAGGTAATGGTTAGGATTACAGATAAAAGTGTAGAAGAGAAGAGGAATTAACTTTTGTAAACTGAAAAAGTAGCTGTCCCCTTGGTCCTATATCAGTCAATGCATTTTTTTTATTACCTTACAATAGATGAGGAATGGGAGTAACTGTTTGCTTTGAGCAGCACAGACAGTTCTCCTTTCATGCAGTTTCTATTCTGAGTCTCTTTTATGAGCCCACAGCAGTTTCTGAATGTTAATGTCGGAATTCTGTGGTGTGATGGAGGCAAGAAAAAAAATCCCAGAAAAGCAACATGGTATCACTGAATTCCTGATAAGGTTCTCTGCCAAACTGTCACAGATTTGGAGCAATATTTTATAAACGGAAAAAAGAAACATATTGGCAAACTGAAAATCTGCTTAATACAAAAGGGCAGCCATTTTACTTGAAATCTTGGTGCACAAACAGAGTAAAAAGATAGCGGCTCTAAATGTCTCTCCCGAGATTCCTGACAAGTTGAAAGACGGCTGGTTATTGTTCAGCTCAAATCGCTCGCTTTGAAACAGATGTGACAGCTATGAAAGTGGATGCTGGTGTTCTGACTGCTGAAAAGGAACAGAGATGGGGTATATAAATGAGATGCGTGTACCTGAGCACTTCGTCTGGTTGGTTGGGGTGAGCGGTCTGCAATGGCTTGTTTAAAGGAGCATTTTAAAGGACCACTTGACTTAAAAATAAATACAATATATACTTATATTATTCACAACTGTGTTTGTCTAAGTCCCCAAGTCTGTAGAGGAATGGACATATGTTTAATCGTATAGGCATATCCCAAATTTGCCCAAATCTACCTCTCTAGGGCATGTTCCAATGTTGTTTTTCTTTTTCCTTATTTGTATATCAAGTAACAGCTTTTATTACTCTCTGTGATGCCATTACCATGATTGTTACATTCTTGCAGGGGCAGCTGTCTAGGGACAAAGGCACTCTATCCAGAACCACATCTCCAAACATCCCTTAACATCCCTTACCCCGCCCACTATGTGGTCAGGCTCTTGGGAGTTAAAACAGCAGAACTGTTTTTCAGGGAATTAAATCAATGTATGCATGCGGAGAGGGACAGTGAGGGGCAGTGAAAGTTGAAATTCTGTAGTCCAGCAGGGGAGAAGCCAGACGGGGTTAACAACACTTCTTGGGATTTCTATGCGGCAACGGCAGCATTGTTAACTCACTACAGGGAGTTAGGAGTTCTGGAAGAAATGCACATGTATTGGTGATATTTTATTGTCTTACGTGTTGCCATTGGGGAGATACTGTATATCCGGCTTCCTGTCCCAGTGACCACTACCATGATGGCAAGATGGCGATTGAAGAGCTATAGCTGTGACTCAGTAAATGTCAGACCACTGTAGAAAGACCACTATTTTCCCATAGAGATTAAGGCTCCTTCTCTGCAGCATGCTAGTAGGGTACAGGCTGTTATACTCAGGCTGTGGCTGCTTTACAAATACAATTAACTTTAAGACTCTGAACACCTTTTATTATGCCCCTTGAATGTATGTATGTATCTGACAAAACAAATTATTAAAATCTTTTCTCATCTGTAATGGAAGATAGTAATACTGGCTGTCCTTGTACCCGTACCAGTGAACACTGCTCCATTCATGAGTTTTTGTCTGTTGTGAAAACCAACTGTTCCGGAAGTGTTGATCTCCTAGGTCCTCCGCAGCTCTCATTGGTTCTTCCCTCTGACCTCACATCATTGTTGTATTGTACAGTAGTATGAGGTAAAACGGAGAAGCCAGTGAGGGTTGCGGGGATGTAGGAAATCAACACTCCTGGTAGAGGCTGTTTCCCAACAGACTTTGGAGGACAAGAACTCATGAATGGAGCTGTGTTGGGTGGTGTGGGCACCATTCATGTTTACTGCTTTCATATACTGTTGAAAAAAAAAAGTTCTACATTTTTTTCATGAGCGGGTTGATTTAAACTGAAAGTTCAGTAGGGCTTTTATCTTGCATTCATCCTGTGGGTATCAGTTAAGAAATTCCTGCACTAATTGCTGAGGAGAAAGGTGAGGGTGCTTGACTTGGATGTAAACCTATATATTATCTGCAGAATTTCTATGGTCAGATGGAACAAGTGCAACAGATTCCTCCAGCTACACTAAACTGTGTGGATGGAAGAATCTCCCACTGGGCCAAACTTCAGTATCTTGCTGATCTTGGCCCCGCTGGATCTCAAAAAAGCTTTATCCATTAGTGTTTCATGAATTAGTGTTTGGTGGGCCAGGTGATCAGACAGTACACAAAGATCAAGTCTATGGTCTCCTCAAGATGGTAAACATTACACAACAAATGAAATATCATACTTGGCAGGCTGGAGTGGCCCTTAATCTTGGC